AGACAGGGTCTCGCTCTGCAGTTCAGGCTGGCCTTGAGCTCACTTTGTAGCCCAGGCTGGTCTTGAACTCGCAAGGATCCTCCTGCCTCAGCCTCCCGAGTGCTGGGATTACAGGGGTGCGCCACCACGCCTGGCCACCAAATGTTTTTTTCATCAGCTAGAACATCTCAATGTCAAATGAAAATCAGTTTTAGGTTAATTCAGGATGTCTTTCTAAATTACAATTCTCGTGTGTGTGTGTGTGTGTGTGTGTGTGTGTGAGAGAGAGAGAGAGAGAGAGAGAGAGAGAGAGAGAGAAAGAGAGAGAGATATTAAACATTGTTTGGGCTGGGCATGGTGGCACACACCTGTAATCCCAGCACTCAGGAGGCTGAGGCAGGAGGATCTCTGTGAGTTCGAGGCCTGAGGCTCGTCTGGGCTACAAAGTGAGTTTAAGGCCAGCCTGAGCTGCATAGTGAAACCCTGTCTCAAAAAGGCAAAAATAAAGTAAAATAATAAACATTGCTTGGGGACATAATATATTCTTTCTTTCTTTTTTGAGATGCTCACACTCACTAAGCAAGTGCCCACCCTACTCCTCAATGCAATACATGTTTGGCAATTTATTCCCCACACACAGATGCCTGAGCTACTTCTTTTTCTTTTTTTTCTTTTTTTTTTTGAGACAGAGTGTCACTATGTAGAGCGGGCTGTCCTTGAATTCACTTTGTAGCACAGGCTGCCCTCGAACTCAAGCATACACCGCCATGCATGCCTGGCCCTTTTTAAGACAAATTTTATTTTTTAATTTTTTTTTTTGCCTGAGTAGCTTCTGTCCTTCCTGTGACACCTAGGAGAAAAAGTATGCTTCTTACTGGTTGTAGTGACACACAGCTCTAATGCCAGCACCCAGGAGGCTGAAGCAAGTGGATTGTTGTGAGATTGAGGCCAGCTTGGCTACAGAGTGATTGCAAGGCCAACCTGAACTACATGGTGAGATCCTGTCTCATAAATAAGCAAGCTTCTTTCCTGAAGCCTTCAACCCAAGTAACCACAAGAGATGGAGTCAGAGGAGACTCTATAACTGGCCATTTGTTCCCAGCTGTTGCTAAAATGAGCTGGGCCCCTCCAGGTACCAGGCACCAAGTGGAGTGCACAGGCGCTTCCAAGCCCTCTGCTGCCTCAGTGAGGTGCGCTGTTGTGCTGCTTGAGATAGCAGCTGTGAGGGCAGCTTGGGGACCAGTGTACAGGTCTGCATCCCAGGGTCCAGAGAGATGTGTGCAGGGCCCTGGAGGCCCATGGAAGACCAAGGGCAGGTAAGGGACACAGTTTGGGCTGTGATGCGTGCAGCAGCTCCTTAGCCATCTGGGACTCCTCCCTCACCCTTTGTCACTGCTCAGTGCTGCCTCTTTCCACTGAGACCCCCCCGCCCCTTTCAGAAGTACCTGGTAGGGCTCTGTCACCTTCTCCCACCACAACTCTGCCTGCTCCAACAAACCCACAGCATCTATAGAGTGAGGTTTTGTTTTGTGTTGTGTTGTGCTTTGTTTTGTTTTGTTTTTTGAGACAGGATCTCGCTATTCAGCTCAGGCTGGCCTTGAGCTTACTTTGTAGCCCAGGCTGGCCTTGAACTCACAATGATCCTCCTGCCTCAGCCTCCTGAGTTCTGGGATTACAGGTGTGCACCACCACACCCAGCTGGAGTGAGGTCTTCTTACTGCCCTTCATTAAATCCCCTTCAACTGTCTCACTACATACTTCTCACTATACCTGTCTGCAAAGGCAGAAGGCTACTGTGAACAAGGACGTGGGAAGCTCATGTATGTCCATGTGTGTTATGTTCTTGCATGTGTGTATACCTATGCTATCATGCAAGTGTATGCATGGATGTGTGTATGTGTGTATGAGTGTATGTAGGTCTATGCCATGAGAATCTGCAGGTGGGTGAGACAGTGGGCTCCCCCTGGGACTGAGCCTCATGTGCCCTGCAGGTACTTCAACTGCAGCTCTCCAGGGGTCCAGGCCTGCAGCCTTCCTGCCTCTTGCTGTATCAACCCCCAGGAAGATGGAGCATCAGTGAATACCCAGTGTGGCTTTAGGGTACTACGCCTGGACCAGGCCGTGGCTGGGCAAGTTGTACACCTGGAGGGCTGCAGCCCCCGGCTGCAGCAGTGGCTGCTGAGGAACATTCAGGCCATAGGTGCCTGCGCCATTGTCATCGTGCTGGTACAGGGAGCTGAGCTCCTGCTGGCCACCCAGCTGCTGTGGGCCCTAGCTGCCCAAAAGGTAGTGGAAGACTTGGGGCCAGGCCCTCCCCGAACATGAAACTACCTGTGCTGTCTTCCCCACTGGGCAGGGTCAAGGGAGGGAGAGATCAGGTACAGGCTGGGCTTTAGGCTTCCCCTGGCTAGCCTGCAATGGGGGGGTAGTCCAAGTAATTCACCCTGGGACCCCTCCCTCTCCATCCTGTACCCCCTTCCTTCCTATGGTTCCTGAGCCCTACAATCAACTTTGCATCACTACCTGATGTCGCTCTGGCTTTCTTGAGGACCCACACAGCCCCCCATCCCTTGCAAAGACTTCCTATCTGACTGGTGTGAAGAGCACAAGTTGTGGGTACTTGCCTCTTACCCTGGACCTGACCTGCCTCTGGCCAGCTCCCAACCCCTCACTTCTTCACTTATAGGGGCCCCTCCCCGTTTCCAGAGTGTGGTGGGGTTGAGGGTAAGGCCAAGGCCTCTCCTGCCAGAAGGGGTTTTTGGGAGGAGGGCACACTGCCACTGAAGAGTACCATTCCTGTGGTAAACTACCAATTTCAAGGGGCCAAGTGAGAAATTCTTATACCCTGCAACCGCCACCAGGTCAAGATGGGGAAGTCCCCAGACACTCAGGCTCCCTGCCGCAGAGGTCAGCTCAGCTCTGACTTCATCTCCAGAGTCAGTGTTGGCCCATTTGTGATTGTCCTGTAAGCAGAATCACAGAGTACCCTTCCAAGAATCACTGTCTGATCATTCCTGTGGGAAGACATGGCCACCCTGGTCAGGAGCACTTGGGACCCGTGTGTGCCACAGACCGCTTGCACAGGTGTGTGAGGGTGACTCCTGTGTGGTGTCAGGAATGGGATCCCCTGGTCACAGTGGGCACATGTTTGGCTGGGATGTAGGCTCCTGACAGGATCTCTGTGCTTTGGTTTCCTTGCCTGGGAGATAGAGAGATGAGCTCCTCCCCCTGCCCCCCGGTATGTGGGCCTTGCCAGTTCCCACCTTCCCAGTAAGGATGGCCCTGGCCACCTACACATACTGCTGACTGTGGCCACTGGGAGAAGGTAGGGACATAGCCTAATTCATGTGCCATGTTGCCAAGGCTCTGTAACTTGAGTATGTGCTCCATGGGTTTATGCATTTTCTACTTGGCCAGGCCATCCCACCCCCACTGCCCACCGCCCTGCACCTTCCTCCACGTGTCTGGGCCAAAGCAGCCCTCACTTTCAGGTCCAGCACCGCCCCCCCTCCCCCGCCAGACATTTCAGACAAACAAGAATACACTAATTTATTTTGAAACAGGGGCAGCAAAGGTGGGCCATGTTGGAAAGGTTGAGTGGGAGATGAGTGGGAGAACATTGTCTCACTGCATGTGCTGTAGACTCCTGACCCATCATGTGCCACCCAGGTCACCCAGCTGGGAGGGAAGTGCAGGGCCTGGGGTATGGGGGATACTCCCATGTGCATTCCAGCCTCAAAGGGGGAAGAGCCTGGGACGGGCCACCTGCAGACCTGAGGGGGTAGGCCAGGGTCTTTGGAAGGTGAGCAGGGTGTCCTGGGGGAGGTTGGGGGGCTCCTGGTAGCTGGTATCCAGAGCCTGAGGTCATCCCACCCTGGAGCCCAGATATAAGTAGGACTGGAGGCTCTGGACAGGGCCCCTGAGTGAGCCTCACAGAGGGCACCTGGAGGGTCCAGGGCTCCTGGCAGCTGTTGGGCTAGATGATGCCATACTGGGCCAGCTCATGCAGCTCCAGGTGGTTGAAGGCCTCCCAAGGGCAGATGACTGTGATGTCTGCAGGAGGGGCATGGTCAGGGAGGAGCCATGGTCCTGGGGCCACCCCATCCTATGGCTCTGTTTTCCATATCCCAAGAGGAGACCACAGTTGGCCCAATAAGAGCACATGCCCCGGGTGCAGGCCCTCCCCAGGACATATTAGTTAGGGGGGCATGTCAAACTGGGCCCCACCCAGCAGAGGGGGTACAGCAGTCCTGAGGGTAGAGCTGGGGAAGGAGGCCCTTGCAAACAGGGCAGCGAGGGTTCCTTCTGGTCCTCATGCTGGTGAACCTACTTCCTGGGCCCCTCATTCAGTAGCGAATGAAGAGGCGATGTTGGGGGAGAAATAGGCAATACCCTGAGTAGTAAGCAGGGAAGGCTGTGGGCGGCTCTTCAGGATTCTTACCTGTTCCCAGGCCTTCCATTCCAGGGATGTCATCCCCAAACCTACAAAGACACAGAAGTGGTCAGGATGGTGGCCTGACGTCAGGACCTAGCCTTCCAGCTGCTGGGCTAACAAGAGGGGTTCCTCCCATGGACACAGGCTGAGGTGGCTGCCTAGAGAATCACACTGGGGCCCAGGGGTTGTGGGCAGGCATGTGGGTAAGAGAAGGGCGGGGACTGTGGTGGGTGTGGGATGGTATGAGTGTGCCTGCTGTGTGTAGGTGTGGTGTGGTGTGTCCCTCGAAGCCTTGTGAGCTGGAGACCCACTCTCATGTAGCAGTACTGAGAGGCGGTAGAGCCTTAAGGGGGGGCCTAGTGAAGGATGATTAGGTCACATGGATTAATGGGGTTCTTGCAGGACCCAGTTATGACCCCATAAAATGAGCATGAGCTTGGGGACTCCCCACTCTCAGCTTCTCATCTCACCATGTGATCTGTCTGTCCTTTTTTGCACCTTTTGCTGGTGCTCCCGCCATGATGCCTTCTGCCATGTTGCAAAGGAGCCACAGTGCCCTCAAGGTGGAACCATGGGGCTTGCCCCACCTGGGACTTGCAGCCTTCCAAACTGTGAGCTAAATAAGCTTCTTTTCTGCATAAAGTATCCAGCCTCTGGTATTTTGTCATAGCAACAGAAAAACAGCAAGCAGGGCCTCTGAGTGCGCACATGGCTGTGGCAGGCTTGTGTGTACACAGATGCGTGTGGATGGGGTACACACACATTGCTGATATGAGGCAGTGGCTGAATCTCCGAGTGGCAGTGGGTTGCTTTCCAGACCATCTTGACTGTGGCACGTGGAGTTGGTGACAGCCCTTCCTGCCTCAGGCCTCAGGAACTGCCTGGCCCCTGGCTTGGCAGGGGCCAAGAAAGTGGCCAAGTCTCACCCCAGCCTCCACCTCATCTTCCTGTGCAGCTTGGGGGACCGCCACTCCACCCTTTGCGAGGCTCCCATTCCCGGGTCCTGCTTACCCTTGGACGCCTTTCTTGGGGGGCTTGCTCTTGAACTGCCTGGTTTGCCGCTGCTTAAACTTGGGTGGCCCCTTCCTGGGGGTGACAGGTCCTCCTATCACCCTGGTGGCTGACCGGATCTCAGCCTTGGGCACCTCCAGGTTCATGGTGAGGATGGCAGAGATACTGCAGTGACCCCTGGCTTCTGGATGCCCTCAGGTTGGGCAGGACTCCTCATGCAGGCTGAGGGCCAACAAAATGGGGGTCCTGGTCAGCCCTTCTGCTCCTGACCCCTGCCCTGGAGCAGAGGATCGGCCCCACCATCCTTCAGTGGCTTCTGCCCCAGAGAGCTTTCTTCTGGCTCCACATGGGTCCCCCCACCCTTGCAGTCATTGCCCTGCCTGGCCCAGACACACATCCCCACTGCTGCTGGCCATACACAGTGCTGGGTGTCCTTCTACCCCATGCAGCATCTGCACCAGACCCACACCCTGGTCATGATGGCCCAAACCAGGACTTCTCACCACCTGTCCTGCAATTACTTGACCACTGAACTTTTGCTCTTTCCTGTAGCCTTGGAGTCTGAATCCAGCTGTCACTGTTGCAAGCTTCTGGGGGTCCCTGCTGGGGCTGGGATGAGACCCTACAGAGCCCCTTCCTGGCCCAGCTGGTCAACCTTACCAGCCTTGGGCCACAGAGCCTTGGGCCTTCCCTTTTTTTTTTTTTGTACCAAGAATCACACTCAGGACCTTGCACTTGCCAGGCAGGTACTGTGTCACTGAGCTATATCCTTGGCCTGACCCAAGCCTTGGGCTGCCCCAGTCAGCCCCGGGCTGCCTCACCCTCCCCAGCCCCCACTCTGCCCCCACACCATGGTCACTCTGTCAAATTCCTAGTTTATTAGCATGCTTGTATGACTCTCTTTGCTCATATTTATGTGCTTATTGTTCTGTTTATTGCCTGTTTTGGGGGGTGGGACAAAGTAATGATGATGGATAATGGCCCATGCAAGGGGAAGGTAGGGGCACCCTAGGAGAAGGGTCCCTATCTCAGGACCAGCTACCTGCTGAGCTGTGTAACCCTCACCTTCCCAGCCCTACTTCACAGAGTCAAACTGAGGTGCAGGGAGGGTGAGGGAGGCTAATATTCTCCTGGGCTCCCAGTGTCCTCCCTCTGTCACCACACTTGGGGCCTGCTTTGAGTCAGTGTCACCTCCTGGCTTTGGTGAGGCTGCTCTGCACGATGCATTGTCCTTGCAGGTGCCACCCAAGGTGACCTCCCCACTCCACACAGCCTCTTCCAAATGCCCTAAGCCCCGATGTCCTTGGCCAAGGACAGCTCAGCTTCCTCTAAGCCTATTAGAGCGGAGAGAGACTCCTAATCTCTCAGGGACTGCACAGAATGTTCTGCACATGCTGCCAGAATATTCTGAGGCTACACATGTGACATGGGCAGAGGCACTGTCCCTGGCCTTAGATCCTCCTAGGAACACCTTTTGGGGTCCCCTCTCCTAAATGACTCCAGCTTTGGGCCAGCACCAGCTATTTGCTGGAGCCCTGGAACTAAGACTGACTATGTGATGAGGACAGGTTGCCCCTCTGTCCCACCTTCTGTCCCCAGGTGCAGCCTCTTTCTTTGGGGCTGGCACCAGGCTGGGAAGAACCCAGCCTCATAAGCCTAATGGTCCTGATTGCTCAGCCCTGTGGCTCCCAACCCCTTGCTTCCAGACAGCTGCTTCCAGGAAGCTGAGGCAGATCTCCTCTCCAAGTCATGGGTTCGTGGTGGGCAGCTGGTGTCCTGGTGGAGATCCCATGGGAATCCTGTGACTGGCACCACCTAGTCACCTGATCTTATGTGGCCTGAGGGTTCCAGACCATTACATCGCTGGCCTTGGGGACAGTGGTACACCATCTGATACCAGGAGCAAAGAAATGGTCAGCAGTGTCCCCTCTAAAGGATGACGGTGGGGGTAGACTACTGAAGAGCCCAGAGCTTAGCCAAGGTGCTGAAGGCCTGTGGGGCCCCCCTGCCCTGGGTGGATGGGAAGATACCTGTTGCCAGGAAAGGCAACGGAGGTGGGTTACTACTCACCAGATGCTAGACAGGTCTCGGGGCCACAGGTGCCGGTGGTTGGATGTGGCTCAACAGAGCACTGGTGCTGGCATTTATCCTGCTGCAGTGAGCGGATTAAGACTCTTCTCTGATGCTACACTAATGGGATTGTTGGCTCCCAAGGATTCTAGAGGCAGGCAGAGGGCTGAAGTGAGGTCAGGGACCTGAAGGAAGGACACTTGGCACGTAGCAGAAACAGGGAGGCAGGTATGATCCCAAACAGCCCACAGGTGGGTCTCTCCCTCCAGAATCACACAGCCATCTTACAGATGGCTCTGGCCAGTGGTTTCCTTCTTCCTTCACTTTGAGTCCTAATCACTGAAGAACTCACCTCTGTGGATCCTCATGCTGTGTAGCCCAGCCCCTATCCATTTCTTTGGTCTCAGATTCAATCCCTGCCTCTTGCTCTGACCCCAGAGACTTTGCACCTGCTTCTCTATGTAGTAGTTCCTGCGCCTCTCCTTTTATCCCTAACTCCTTCTTCCTGGGTCTCCAGACCTCTGACCAGTGTTACTTCTTGGGGCAGCAACTCCAGGTAGACCAGGGTGCCTGTTTCAGCTACGACCCTTCTCCCTCACACTCATGGTGTTTCTAAGTGTGCATGATTCCTTTGTATTCCGATAGGGAGGAGAATAAGCTGGATAGATTTCTACCAGTTCCCCAAGTCCAGCCTGGGGACTTCACTGCTACTCAGTAGGAACCTGCAGGCTGAATGGATGATGACAAGATCCCAGCCAGTGTGGCAGAGCCAGTGAGCTTCGTTGCTCTACACCCAGGAGGTGGCTTGCCTTCTTAGCATAGGGCAAGGGCAGTGGCTTCTGCAGACGTCTCACAACTCACTGGCCTGTCCCAACTTTTAAACTCCATAATAAGGCTGTTTTCACAGGGCCCAGTGAATATGATATATGTAAACATACACATGTACACATAGAAAACACAGATCTCACCCCTTTGTCTATATTTCTTACCTACTTTTTTTAAATTTTGAGACAGGGTCTTGCTAAGGTGCTAAGTTGCACAGGCTGGGCTTGAACTTGCAATTCTCCTGCCCTAGTGTCTATATTTTTTTTCTTATTTTTTTCTTTTTTTGCAGTACTGGGGATTGAACCCAGGACTTCATACACCTCAAGTAGGCACTCTACCACTGAGCTACAACCTTAGTCCTTTTTAAAAATTTCGTTATTGTTGTTTGGTTTTTTGAGACAGGGTTCTTGCTTTGTAGTGCACAGTGGCCTTGAACTCACTATGTAGCCCAGTCTGCTCTCAAACTCTGGCAATCCTCCTGCCTCAGCCTCTCAAAAGTGCTGGGATTACAGGTGTGTACCACACCAGGCTTTTTTTTTTTTAATTTTTAAGACAGTCTCATTAAGTTGTACAGGTATCCTTGAATTTGTGATCATCCCTCCTCAGCTTCTAGAGGAGCTGGAATTACAGGCATCTACCAACCAGCCTGAGTCTATTCCTTTCTTTGATCTCTCTACATTGCCAACAAGTTCTGGAAGTCCTGAAACACACCAAGCCCTACTGTGCTGCCATCTCTGTAGAAAACCTTTCCAGTCATTCCTGAATGTGTGTGAGTTAGGGCTAGTCTAGCTGCGTCTTGACGGTCTAGGTCTAATAAAGTCACCATCTCATGCTTCTCAGGGCCCACCTGGGGCTGAGTGTTTCCAGACCATACAAATCAGCCTTCCAAGACACCAGCTTGACCTAAGAGTGTTTTATGCCCACTAGTAAGGCATTTACCTTATGGTCTCATGGTTCTATTGTCACAGATCCTTGTTACATAAAACAAGGTACTGGGGAAGAGTCTATGTATCAGCTAAATTCCCTCATGAAATCATTTCACAAGGCTAGTTTTTCTCCTTTTTTTTTTTTTTTGGTACGGGGAATCGAACTCAGAATCTTGTGCCAGGCAGGCACTTATGCTGCCGAGCTACACCCCTGGCCCTAGCTTTTCTCTTAAATGAGGAGACAAAATAGGTATACATATGCTTAATCTCAGCCCTGAACAAACTATTTGCAATCACAGCCTGGAATTATTGGGGAAAGTTGAGGTGGGAAAATTTCCATGAAATGGGGGAGGAGGGTGGGCACTGAGGACCCTGACATAAAGTTCTGCTTTGGGTCATAGTGGCCCAGACTGCAGCTCAGAACCAGGCAAGTGGTTCTGGGGTTGGTGTCCCTGGACTCCTGGTTGTTCCATGGCCAACTACTTTGGGAGTCTTGGCCAGGTAGGTTGGAAGAACAGGTCTGACAGTATCCAGGCTCCTATGGGCTGACTACAGTATCTAGCTGGTAGGAAGGAGGTCTCTCTAGGACCCCAGGAGGGACTGAGGGCAGCTGGATGGATAGGGTCCTTCCCAGAGTGCTCGATGAGAGCTTTCCTCCAGGTGACCAAGTGGCCTTTTCCCAGGTACATGTAAAGTGTAGACAGAGCTGACCTTCAATGGGACATGCAAGATGGTGGAACCTACAGGAGTGTCACTTAGACATTCAGGTAAATGGAGTCTTATTTCACCCTCACAGGCTGGTGAGGGCTGCAGCTGCTTGGCAGATGTATAGTGCCAACTGGTACCCATTTTCTTTGATAAGGTATACAGGCCTTATGGAGAACAGAAATGCTTCCTGTTCAACCACCATGAAGAATGTATTTATTTTCAGAAAAAGTCAATAAACAGTTGCACCTATTGGTTGTGAACAAAGGTGGCCACTGCTGCTTCCAGAGCAGGAGCCACCAGGTTGGTGTCTCTGTCCAGAGTGAGGGTGTCTCAGCCAGACTGGCTCAGCCACCACCTCGTATATGGAGCTGTATCTCCATCTTGAGGAAGGCTTTGAGGTTCTCATCAGCCACATGCTCCTCTAGCGCAGCCAGAGCTCGCTCCCCACCATCCTGGTAGTGCTGCAGCAGTGCCTCCACATACTCCACCCACACACAGTTGGGGCAGCCGCTCATGCAGCAATTTGTTGGGGGCTGGAGCTCAGGTGGCACAGGGTAAAAGGGTTTTGAGGGGTCCCCACTGGGCAGGGAGGTCTTGGGCTGCCTGGTGCTGTCTGCACCTGCTTGAGAGGCCCTCTCCCCATGGTCCACGGCTGATTCTCTTCGGTCATCACCAGACCCCACTCGGCCATGGTGCCTGTGAGGAACACTGCCTCCTCCTGGAAGGCTGGGGCAGCAGTTCCAGCTGGAGACCCAACGGGCTCCCTGAGGATGCAGATAAACATAATTCTTAGGGAAGATGGAAAGGTGTGTCCTGTCCCTGATTCTGGGGATCTTTCAGTCTTCCTGTTGCTGAAGGACAGGTGACTCCATGTCCTCAGCTTCTCCACTCCCACAGGACCTTAGACCTCACCTCTCACCTCTCTAGACTGTTTCCCCATCTGTAAAATGAAATCAAGATGAGGAAGACGTGGCACGACTCATGAGAAGGGCTAAGTTCAGGGTCACGCGTTGAGTGTGCATTCAGCAGATCGGGGCACGGGAGAGGAGTACTCCTGGGCTCCCGGCCTCAGAGCTGTCTCTTCCTGTCTAGCCAGTACGGGTAAGCTCTTCCTCTCCTCTGATGAACCATTCTGCGTCACATCACCTTTACCCTACTTCGCTGTCACATAAGAAGCCCAAGGCTTTGGGCTCAGACTCTAACCCCAGCAACCTCGGGTCTCCCCCACCCCCGAATTTGTCCCAGCTACCCCGACCACCGGCTTCCTACAGACTTCCTACAGCCAATTACAAACTGCCGCGGGCGCGCAGCTCCTCCGTACAGCCGAGCCTCAGGGTCTACAGGCCTTACAAACAAGAGGCGTTGAGTAGATGCCCTGAACGCGAGGGGCTCGGGGGCTAGATGGCCTTCCCACACCTGGGGTGGACGCGGACTCCACATCCTCAACCTCCCCATCCCCAGCATGCCAGTACTTGCCGAGCCGTGCACCGCAGCGCACACAGCCCTACAGGCCCGGGAGACGCTCCGCGGTAGCATTGCCGCGGCAAGTTGTGAGTGGCGGCGGGCCTGCCCAATCCCAGCCTGAAGAGAGGCCGCACCGACCCAATGAGCGTGCGGCTGGGCGCAGGAAGTGGAAGTAGTGTTCGTTCGCGGGCCGCTCGGGAGGGCGGAAATGGCTTCGCTCTCAAAGCGCCTGGTGTGGTAATGGCAGGTGCTGGGCGGCGAGCGGTGGCCCCATCAGGGTCTATGGGACCAGGGAACCCGGGACGGCGGCGGCGGCAGCAGCAACCACGAGGACCGCAAAAATGCTCGGCCCCGCGGCCGGGGCAGTACAGGTGGGTAGTGACCCCGGAGGAGCGGATTTGTTAGCAGGCTTTCCAGCACCCATTCTTAGTAGGCTCACGTCTTCCTCGATGGTGCCTCGGCCCTCTCTCTGCGAAGATCCGTTGAATGTGTAGAGACTTGGATGAATCTGGTTTTGCCTGTGCTGCGTCCCCAGTGCGAGGCCAGCTGTCCCAAGCTCCGCGGATTTTCGGAGTGCCTTTCGCCGCAGCATGCTTGGAGAAAGCAGTTCCAGGGACGGGGTGAGAGGAGCGGGCCTTCTCCCTGCCGGATCCACGGCCCCGCTGCTCTTTTCAGGCTTAGCCACCTTTTCTGATTCTGCTTGTTTTACTTGGGACGGGTCTCACACCCCCACCCCCGGGTTTTCTTTCCCAGCAAAGAAAAGAAGAAAGTGAATTGCAAGCCTAAGAACCAGGATGAACAGGAAATCCCTTTCCGGCTCCGAGAGATCATAAAGAGCCGTGAAGAGATGAAAAAACCCCTCAGTTTCAAGAAGAGAAAGAAAGAGGGTATGTGTGGGCCTCTGATTGGTAGCAGCAGCTTTGTGTGTCTGAATCCCCCCAGTTGCCCACATATTGTACTGCATAGCGTTTCAGGTAGAGGAAACATGCCAAGACCCAGTGCTACAGGAACAGGGCAAGGGAAGCAAGACTGAGGGAAAACCAGTGTCACCAGAACCAAAGCAGGGGGTGGTAGTGGGGCGGTTCCAGAGGAGACTAAATAAAGAAGCCCCTGCAGGGAGGGGGAGCAGCTTAGGGGAACCTCAGGAGCAGGGGGAAAGAAGTTTTTTTTTTTTAAGTGGGTTTTTTTTTGTTTTTTTTTTTGTTTTTTTTTGAATCTTCCAGAGTAGTGGAGATCTATCAGGGGGTTTTAATGGTGATGACCAGTTTATATTTACTTTTTTGTTTTGTTTTGTTTCATTTTTTTTCCGGTACTGGGAATCGAACTCAGGACCTCACGCTTGCCGGGCAGGTGCTGTGCCGCTGAGCTAAATCCCCAGCCCCTGTTTATATTTACTTTGAGGAAAGATCACATCATAATGAAGGGAATGAGTGGCTATGGCTCACCAGTGAGGCTGTCACCAGTGAGAAGTGATGATCCCTTGGACCAGGTTTTGAGGAGCAGGCAGAGAGAGGTGGGTGGATTCGGGGATTTAAGAAAGAAAATTGATCAGACCCCTCTTAAAAGCTTGCCCTTCTCATTCCTTACCCTAGTGTCTAGGTTGGGCCTCATGCCACTCTAGTTATGTTGGGCAACAGTGTCAACATGCTTGTACGTTTTTGTGTGTATATATATTCGTTTTTCCAAACTGATTTTACAGCAATGCTGTTTTATAATTTATGTTTAAATTTTGGCCTTCTCTGGGGCTGGGGATTTAGCTCAGGGGCTGGGGATTTAGCTCAGTGGCAAAAGCGCCTGCCTGGCAAGCGCAAGGTCGTGAGTTCGGTTCCCGGTACCGGAGAAAAACCAAAAAAAAAAAAAAAATTTGGCCTTCTCGCCGGGCATGGTGGCACACGCCTATAATCCCAGCATTTGGGAAGCTGAGGCAGGAGGATCCTTGCGAGTTTGAGGCCAGCCTGGGCTATATAAGTGCATTGGAGGCCAGCCTGAACTGCATAGTGAGACCCTGTCTCAAAAAGACAAATAAATAAATAAATAAAGTTTGGCCTTTTCACCAAAGACATGATGAAATGGAAAGCTAAGAAAGGGGGTTAGAGGAGATACTGACCCAGGTGGAGGGTGGAATTCTTTTTTTGTAGTAGAGCTCTGCCCTCTGGCCTTGTGCGTACTGCACAAGTGCCCTGCCTAGAGCTGTATCCTCAGTCCTGGGTGGCACATTTGTGAATTGTGTTACATTGAATTGGTACTTTATTTTAAAACTATACACCCAGGAAGCTGGGAATGTAGCTCCATTGTAGAGTGCTTACAGAGCGTGCTCAAGGCCCTGAGTTGGATCCCCAGCACTGGATAAAAATTGTGTGTGTGTGTATACGTGTACATGTGTACTCACATATGTGTTAAAGTCAAACGGATCTGAGAGGTATGAAGTGAAATGTGAGCCTCCCTGTCTATAAACCCTGGTCCTTCCTCCAAAGAAATCTTTTTTTTTTTGGTTTTTCTCCGGTACCGGGAACTGAACCCATGACCTTGCGCTTGCCAGGCAGGCGCTTTGCCGCTGAGCTAAATCCCCAGTCCCCTCTCCAAAGAAATCTTTGTTCATTTTCTGTATAACCTTTCCTGGAGAGATATTATTCATATTTTCACACCTTTGCTATTTAAACCTCTTCCTTCATCCTATATATTGCTCTATGGCCTGTGTCCATTTATAGGGCCTTTCCACATTCATATCTGTAGCTCTGTTGGGCTTACTTCAGTAGCTGGGTAATGAAATTTGTGGATGAGCAGAGGGAATTTATTTATCCAGGCACTTCGGGGCAGTTATTTTTGTTTTTTTTTTTTTTTTTTTTTTTTTTTTGGAGACAAGGTCTTGATATGCAGTTCAGACTGGCCTTGAGCTCACTTTATAGCCCAGGCGGGTCAGGAACTTGCAACAATCCTCCTGCCCCAGCCTCCCGAGTGCTGGGATTACAGGTGTGTGCCACCACGCCTGACTCTCATTGGTTTTTTTCAGTTGTGCCACAGTGGATGTCGTTGACCCACACCAGCAGGCTGTGAGGTCACTGCTGCAGGGATGACTTAAACTGGGCATTTTAGATCCTCTTTGGCTGCCACGTCCAGCACAGCTTTTGAAACTTCAGAGGGAGGACAGTGGGGGTAGGGAGGTGGGGTGAAGAAATACAGGAATCAACATATAAAAGCTGAGGTCAAGTGGAGCCCTCTCTCCTGGTAGGAGAGAATGAACTGCCCAGCACCTGCGTCGCATTTATTTATACCATCAGCATATGAATAAGTTCATGGAGAGTTTAATGGGGACAGGAAGAATAATCTATTAGCAGAACAGTCAGCATGTCTTGGTGGCTTCATGGGAAACAAGGGAGAAAACCGTGTTATCTCAAGTCAAGGTCAAGTCACTATAGCAACTGTTTATGGTGCACACTTCTCATGGGGCCCTGCCAAACTCATGAGAGGCAGTGATTTGTCCTAGATACCCGAGGTACAGACAGCTTTGCTCCCAACATTTGGCTGCTTCCACTTGAGCCTGATCTTCTCTTTCTATTGTCTTGGGAGGGGAAGTGAGCTTGGATCCCTTGGCTGGCACCATCTACTCCCTCCTGACTGATGCCACATCTTTTCTGGGGTCTTCATTTGTCCTTAGCCCAGGTGGCCTTCAGGAATACTCTGGAGATGGAAGCAAAGGGAGCAGAACCAGATATCATGGTTCCCAAGTTCAAGCAGAGGAAAGGGGAGTCTGATGGGGCTTACATCCAGCGCATGGAGCAGGAGACCCAGCACGTTCTGTTCCTCAGCAAGAACCAGACCAGCCGGCAGCCAGAGGTGCAGGCAGCTCCCAAGAAGGAGAAATCTGAGCGGAAAAAAGCGTGAGTTGGGGGCAAGAGGGATCATGGTCTGCGTGGAAATCCCACGGAGGCAGAGATGATGGGTTCTACAGTAACATTTTGTTGCCACATCAGCCCCTACCTATACCAATTCAGGAAAACTGAGGGAAGAACTTAAAATCCTGGTAAGGGCAGAGCTCAGTGGGGTGGAGGTGGGGGCTCAGGTCATGCAAAGACCTTGCTTTGTTTTTTTTTTTTTTTTTTTTCTGGAAGAGCATGAAGGCTTCCGGGGCCAGTTGTCTACCTTAGGCTGGGTACTAGCCACTGAAATGTCCCTGAGAGAATCAGTATTGAAATATATATATTGGGGGGGGAATCTGTTTGATTTTTTTTTTTTTCCCGGTACCGGGAATCGAACTCATGACCTTGCGCTTGCCAGGCAGGCACTGTGCCACTGAGCTAAATCCCCAGCCTGGTCTGTTTTTTGAGACAGGGTCTCACTATGCAGTTCAGGCTGGCCCTGAGCTTACTTTGTAGCCTAGGCTGGTCTCAAACTTGCAACGATCCTCCTGCCTCAGCCTCTTGAGTGCTGGGATTAGAGTTGTGGGCCACCACGTGCTGCGAGAATCAGTATTGTATAGGGCTTCGGGTGAAGCTGACATGTAGCCCTTGCCTAGACCTGGATTGAGCTGTCTCCAGTGTTCTCCTTCCTTGTCCAAAAGAGATTCCCACCCCCTCCAAAAAAATAAATAAAATTTTAAAAAAAGAGATTCCAGAGCCTTTGGCTTGGTAATTTATACAAGTTCTATCACTGCTCAGCCTGGTGTTTTCATCTGTAAAGTAAATCAAGATGTCACTGTCATGAGGTTTAGTTATACTTGTACAATTACTAAGGATGGTGTCAGGACCAAGCCTCCCCTCTCCTGCCTGCCTTGATTTCCCTCCTGGCCTGTGGGAGTGTAGGGAGTTAGTTTCAACAAGCAGTGTTCTTTCCTTATTTTTTCCTCCAGTACTAGGGATTGAACTCAGGGCCTTTGTACTGAGCTACACCCCTGGCCCATCTAAAAAAAAGTTTGTTTTTTTTTTGTCTTTTTGAGATAGCATCTCGCTATGCAGTTCAGGCTAGCCTTGAGCTCCCTCTGTAGCCCAGGCTGGTCTCAAACTTGCAACAATCCTCCTGCCTCAGCCTCCTGAGTGCTGGGATTACAAGCATGTGCCGCCACGCGCAGCTAAAAATTTTTTTACTTTGAGACAGGGTCTCACTAGTTGGCCAAACTAGGCTCAGACTTGCCATTCAACTGCTTCAGCTTCCTACAGTGCTGGGATTACAGGTGTGCACCACCACACCTGGCTAAGCAGTGCTTTGTGAGATGCCTTTACCACAACTTTCCAGATTAACCAACCCAAGGTTTTATCATAATTAAAGTAGCTGGGCGTGGTGGTGTACGCCTGTAATCCCAACATTTGGGAGGCTGAGGCAGGAGTAGGAGGATCGTCAGGAGTTCCACACCAGCTTGGGCTACATAGTGAGTTAAATGCCAACCTCAACTACATAGTGAGACCCTGCCTCAAAAACAAACAATAACAATGAAGTTAAGATAAAAATTGCTGCAAGGTAGCAATTTTTCCTTTTTGCTAGCACAGGCAAGTTTTTTGTTTTTTGAGACAGGGTCTGACTGTGTAGTTAGGCTGGCCTTGCAAACCTAAGGTGATTCTCCTGCCTGAGCCTCCCAAGTGCTGGGATTACAGGGGTGAGCCACCATGCCTGGCAAGGATGTTATCTTTTTGATTCTAAAGATCTGCAGAGTAGATAGGTTGTAGAGTCTCCCTTTTTCTGAGTTCTTGAAGTACTTATAGTCATATTAGGCAAGAAAATTACATCCTAGAAAACTTAGTTCTTATATAGCCTAAAGCCACAATGGTTTCCAAACTTATCGTAAGACCATAGAATTCACAGTCCCCATAAGGTGCTACAACACATCTCTGGGACTTTGGTAGGCCATTTGGTTAAAGCAGCACAGCCAGCACTTGGGGCACGATAGTTCTCCATAGTATGGTTGTCCTGTGCATTGTAGAACACTTGGCAGTATCCATATCCTGTCCAGTGTTACAGCCCAGAATGCCCACGGGTGTTATCAGATGTTTCCTGGGGCTGACAGCTACTAACTGGGAAGTCTCGAAGGGTATGGTGGACGCAGAGCTCACTTGGATGGTGGGTTGTAGCTTTGGAGATGGTGAAGGGTATGGAGACTAACAGTGGTTGGCAGGGCTCAGGTCTCATCTCTGCCCCTGGGTACCTCTTGAGGGTAGGATGGCCCTTGCTTCCTCCAGGTTGGGATGAGCAGTTAGGAATTTGGAAGGCATCATGCTTTCTTCCCAGGTTTCAGAAACGGCGACTGGATAAAGCCCGGCAGAAAAAGGAGGAGAGGGCTGTGGAGCGGCTGGAGCAGGAGCTACTGCAAGGTAACCCTTTATAAAGTGACTCTATGCAGACCAGGGCCTGCTCTTCCCACCAGCCCCCTTATTTCCTTGAGTCCACAGCTGGCAGGCTAGCAGATGAGTCCATGTTCTGCGTCCTGGCCTTGCGAGCAGGGAGCGTGGGGATTTGAGGGTGGCAGGGGCCGTGGGCACCAGGGCCAAGGTGATATGTAAGCAGCAGGCCTTTGTTCCCTCTGTTCCCCCAGACACTGTGAAGTTTGGAGAGGTTGTCCTACAGCCACCAGAGCTGACTGCCCAGCCCAGGAGGAGCACAAGCAGAAACCAGGTATGCAGGGTCTAGGTGCACAGGAGGTGGCAGAGTTACCAGTCTTTTCTCCAGAGCTGCCAGGGAATAAGAGCCAAGACCAGTGCTTGTGTCTGCTGTAGGGTGCACCCCCAACACCTCACTGGACTGAGAGCTGTTAGACAGTTGCAGCCCTTGCCATCACCCCTGAATCCCACCCTGTGTCTTACCCTTCTTTCTTCCTCAGGCTGGCAAGAAGTCGCTGATGCTGAAGATGCTTTTGAGCCCTGGCAGTGTATCCCAGAAGCCTCAGGGCGCCTCACTGGCCCGGCAGCGGATTGTGGAGGAGGAACGGGAGCGGGCTGTGCAGGCCTACCGGGCCCTGAAGAAGCTGCGACAGCAGCAGGGGGTGTCACCACCACAGCCACTGGGCCACACTTCCCAGAGGAAGCCCAAGGTGCCTCTGTGATGGAGAAACTCAGGAGCCTGGTACCCCTAGAAATTGGCCAGGGTTTGCCACCCCTAAGCCAAGGAGAGATGGCAGATCCTTTTCCAAATAATGGCCCACACACCAGCTCTCAATGTGGAGAGTTTCTAGATCTTTTCTCTCAATTGTTACCCCTAAGGATAGCCCTTTCCTAGTCATCAGTGAGGGGGCTGTGTCTCATACATGGTTACTCCCCCGTAGTTTGGGGCCAGTGTCTTGTATCTGAGCCTAGCTTCATTCTGCAGCAAAGTCCAGGCTCAGGGAACCCAGGGCCACTTTAAGAAGCACCCAGTCCTAAAATGACTCTGAACACCAATTAATTACTGAGACTGTTGATGTACGTCAGTTCAGTATTAAGAGGCTCCCTCAGGGTCAGCCCAAGCAGGGACCAGGCAGGGTGCATCAGCAGGCCAGTAGCACAGCAAGCAGAAGCCTGGGTACAGTTGATCCCTAGACCACCTATGGGGTTTTCACAGGGAGCCAGGACCTTGGCTCACCTATTAGTGGGCCGCCCAGGGACAGAAGACCCTTAGCCCAGGTTGGTTGGAATAGAGATACATCCAGAGGGTAGGAACATGTCTGTGACCCACCTAACAGGTCTCTGGAAAATGAGGCAGGCAAAGTGGCCTGGGATGGAGCCTTCCTGGGACCCTGGTTAGGCAGCAAGTGCCGAAGGAGGGAGCACCTGGCCCTCAGCACGAGGTGAATGAAAGCAGAGGTGTGAAGGCCTTCAGGACCCTGCCACTGCAAAGGTGCTCCCAGAGATCTCACCAAATCCCAAATCCACAATCCACGAGGAGCATTGTAAAGTGCTAGAGTTTTGTGTGATCTTTTAATCCCCTTCCCCAAGTTTGCATTTTACAGAATGAACTTGATTAAGATTTTTGCTATTTTTGAAATCAGTGCTCAAAAATAAATAAAAAAATAAACAACAACAACAAAAAAGAAATCATCGTGGTTAGCCTCTAAAGTGATTGTTGCTACTTTGTGACACTCAGTGGTTCATCCACCTGGGTGACTGGGATGAGCATCGCTGATTTGAATTATACCTGGCAGCACTCTGGGCCTCATTCAGGCTGACTAGCGAAGTGCAAGTTTAGACAACACTTGCCACCTGGGAAGTTTGAGTCAGGACACTCAGGCCAGAGCACAGCCACTGTCGATGGTGCTGGTGTCTACATCCGTTCCAGAGGCTGTGTGACCTTTCTTCTGAGGCATGTGATGGACCGCCTCTGTGACTTGGATTATGGGACTGTTTGCCTCTTCTGCTTCCTCTAAACCTTCCTGTCATGGAATATTGGCAGGCTCCTGTTCTGACCCTCTGTGTGTACCTGACCCTGCCCTTCCTATGGCTGGTGTGGCAAGACCAGGCAAGACCTAGTGTCCTTTGCACAGGGCCTTTTTTTTTTTTGAGACAGGGTCTCACTATGTAGTGCAGCCTGGTCTTGAACTTACTGTGTAGTGCAGGCTGACTTTGAACTCACAGCGGCCTTCTTGCTTCAGCTTCCCAAGTGTTGAGGTTACAAGGGTATGCCACTGCACCCAGCATTTTTTTAAAAATTAGTATATTAATATAAAACATTCTTTTGGGAAATTGATACATGTACTTAACATCGTGATTATTTTCAATTCTGTACCCCTTAGGGCCTGGTTTTTGTAACTGTTCTGGGTTCTGACACCTGGGCACTCTTGCTATGTCCCTGAGCCAGTCTGGAAATACTGACAGCCAAGCAGTGGCAGTGATACTGTGGGATGTCAGTACTTGGTTTTTTTCCGGTACCAGGAATCGAACTCACGATGTTGTGCTTGCCGGGCAGGCGCTGTGCCCTTGAGCTAAATCCCCATCCCCCAGAGATGTCAGTACTGACTCTGGGTGCCTTGAGATGTCCATGTGGAAATCGAATCTGGGAAATATGGTTCCCCAGTCCTCCAACAGAATCAGAGTGGCAGCTGCAGGCTCAAGTCCAGGCCTTGAATATTCCTAAGCATGATAACGGTGTTTAGTTTGTTGCCCGAAAACACTGAAATAACCTAGTATAGCCCTTAGGGTCCTCTCAAATGGGCCTTGCACGGTCCCTGGTCTGTGTTCTTTCTCTGGAATGGGATCTCAGAGGGCTTGGGGCACTCCCTTGTGGAAACTTCCCTGCTGCTGCTGTTGGGTGTTTGTCTTTTTTTTTTTTTTTTTTTAAATAAAAGGAAGAAAACATTAACAGACAGCCATTTTACAACATAGCAAAAGAACAGTACAGACAATACGGTGTTATAAACAAAGTGGTAGGGAATTAACAATGGTGTATTACATATTGATATCTTCAAAGTGGCTTCTCATGAAAACAGATACAGAAATGCAATACTGATCAACCAAAGACTCATTAACAGTTTCTCTCAGCAAAGAAATAGAAGACAGAAGAACAACCATGTTAACGATCCTGTATATACATACATACAAAATTTCTCCTTTCCCTTCTCTTTTCCCACATCCATCATAACTCCAAGTTTAAATTAACCCTTTCAAGTTTTACACTAGTGAAACAATGCGGTGCTTGCACATGTATGTTTGATTTATTTCACTTATGAGTATGGTCTCTAGTTGTGATCATTTGCCTATAAAAGCCTCAAGTTTATCTTTCTTTACAGCTGAGTAATATTCCATTATATAAAAGTACTGGGTGTTTGTTTTGTTTTGGTACCAGGACTCAAACTCAGGACCTCGTGCTTATGAGGCAAGTGCTACGCTGCTGAGCTATATCCCTGGCCCTGTTGGGGTGCTTTGAGTGCAGGTTCAGCAGGACAAAACAGTACAAGGCTATTCGCCCATCTGGCTTCAGCCTCTCTTATAGCATGATGTCTGACAGGGTATGAATGCAGCCTGTGATATCTCTGCTAGGGAAGCATGTGGGGCCTGCCTCCTAGCCTCCTCCCTGCTGGTCCTGCCCTTCCCTTCCTGGAGCATCCCTTTCCCTTCATGCCTCCAAACTGATGAAAATGCTGAGGGTGGGCCTTTGGGACACAGCACCTGTAGGAAGCTAAGACTAAGCAGATCCAAGAGGTACAGATAGCCAGAGCAATGGGAGGAGGAAGCTAAGCAGGGCTGAGACTGAGACCTGGAAGGGCTCAAGCATGCAGCCCAGCAGCACCAGCAGCTGCAGGGAACTGGCTAGTTAGTGCATACATGGGCTCATCCTAGTCCCCAGAGTTAGGAGTCCTGGGGGCAGGGCCCATGATCTGGAGGTTTGGGTACACTTCCCAGTCTGAGGCCCACTGAGCTAGAGGATGACACTGGATGTAATGAGCTCCTCTGAGGGTCTGGGTCTAAGTGGAACCCTAGCATTGTTCAACTCTGAACAAAACATTTGTGTGGCATTTTTGCAGGGGGTGAGGGACCAGCACCTTCAGTTTCTCAGGAGGACCATGACCCCAAATTGATTAAAAGCAGCACCCTTGCTGGGCACAGTGGTATGTTCCTGTGATCCCAGCCACTCAGGAGGCTGAGGGAGAAGGTTAAGTTCCAGGACAATCTTAGGGAACCTAGTGAGGCCTTATCTCTAAGCAGATCTGGAAGGGTGGGGGTGGGGGGTGCTGGGAATGTAGCTCAATGATCCTTGGGTTCAATCCTCAGTACTGCCAACAATTTACAGCCTACAACAGTTCACCTCAGCAGGCTTCCATACCAGCTGGCGGTGGCTCCCAAGTAATCAGTAGTTCCCACTGTGGCTCAAGAGTCCAGAGAAACCCAATTCAGATATAGGGGTTGCTGTAGTCCTGGTGCTGTGGAGTGAGGCTCTGCAACCTTAAAACTGGTAGCCAGCCAAAAGAACAGGCTCTCTCCCTGTGGCTCCAAAGCCTGTTCTCAGATTCAGGATAACTGTCTCACCCACGAACTTCTCTAGGAAAGTCCATGCCCAGCCAAAAGAGCATTACTTCAGATGATGACAGGTGCAGGATGTCAAGCAGCAGCTACAGTCTCTGCCTGTAGGCTTAATGACCTATTAAGTAGTGGTCCTCTTTTCCCAGTTGGTCCATATTCTCATACCCCATGGCAGAAGTATGGTGAGGCAGAGGTCCCAGTGATGCCCCATGAGTCTACCACTGGTGGTGACCTGAGCACAGAGTGGTAGTCTCACTGCACTTGATTTGGGGTAGGTTAGTTGTCCCTCTGCTAGACAATCAGCTGAGCACCTGGGCTTGGGGACCATTCAGAGCTTGGTGGCCCTTTCAGCACCTGCCTATTTCTTTCTTTTTTTTTCTCTTTTCTTTTTTTTTGGTACCGGAAATCAAACTCAGGACCTTGCGCTTGCCAGGCAGGCGCTTGTACCACTGAGCTATATCCCTAGCCCTACACCAGCCTATTTCTGAAATGCTGCCAGGAAACACACATTAGGCCAAGGGTGGGGGTGAGCATGGGAGTTGAGGGTCTGACTGAGCTAAAGTGGGCTTCTGGCCAGCAGAAGCTGAAGAACTGCATGGGAGGAAGCCCTGATGCACTAGAGCTAACCCTGTCTGGGATCCTTACACACTCAACTGAAAAATGGGATGAATTTCACTCTGAAGAGATCTAACACTTAGCAATTTTGCTAACACTTAGGTTTTACTTAAGTCCTCTGAAATCAGAGGTCCAGAGAGAGCCAATATATTAGATCCCATGCTAGTCACTTTTCATTCCTATAATAAATACCTGAAGCAGAAAAAAGTTCATTTAGCTCAGTTTTGGAGGTTCAAGGACATGATGCTGGCACCAGCCCCACTCTGCTGAGGCCCTCTTGGGGGGGAGTCACAGGCAAGTGTCAACACAAGAGTGCACAGGAGCAAGTGGGCACCTTTTAGCCACGTGGGGGGCTAAACCACATACAGTTTGAAACCTCCTGTGATCTACCATCAGGGATCAGAGCACAAAACCCAGAGGTATGGCACTTGTCATTTGTACTTTCAACTGAAGAGTGGGAGGCTCTCAGAAACAAGGTCTCAGCCAGGTGTCGAGGCTGAGGCCAGAGGATCGCTACCAGTTTGAGGCCATCCTGGGCTATAGAGTGAGTTCAAGTCCAGGTTGAATTGCATAGGGAGACCCTGTCTCAAAACAAAACAAAACAAATCAAACCCAAGATAAACAAAGGAAACAGTCTCCCTGGCCTTCTCTCATGTTCTCATCCCTGCCCCCCATCCCACCCCAAAGTGAGTCACAGAAACCAGAATTCTTAGTTAAGACAAGTCATAGAAGGCAAAGCCCCTGCCCCAAAAGCAAGTCACAAAACTTAGAAGTCATTCTCTTCCTTCTTCCTTGAAGACCTTTATTTTAGAGGAATCCTACCCCATACACAAGGGAAGGAGAGCTAGAGGCCAAGAAGGATCTTTACACACCACCCCCCTACAACTATTAGCATTACATAACACCCTATTGGCCAATTGCATTTCTTTTTTTCTTCTTCTTTTGGGTGTTTGCTTGTTTTTAACATAATTTTGTACTTTTCCCCCCCCTTTTTTGGGTCTTTTTAAGACAAGGGTCTCAGCATGTAGTTCAGGCTGTCCTTGAACTTGCAGTGACTCTCTTGCCTCAACCTCCTGAGTGCTTGGATTACAGGAATGCACTAGTTTTTTCTCAGACAGGGTCTTGCTATTTAGTTCAGGCTGGCCTCAAATTAGCAGTGATCCTCTCTCAGCCTCCCAACTGCTGGGATTGCAAACATGCACGATCATGCCTGGCACTTCTTTTGTTTTCTGAGACACAGCCTCACTGTGTAGTTTTGTTTTGTTGACAGGATCTCACTGTGTAGTACAGGTGACCTTGAACTCACTATGTAGCTCAGGTTGACCTCAAATTCATGGCAATCCTCCTGCCTCAGCCTCCCGAGTGCTGGGATTATAGGGGTGCACAACTGTATTTTGTTTGGTTTTGTTTTTTTCGCTATGTAGTTTAGTTCAGGCTGGCCTTGAATTCACTATGTAGCCCAGGCTGGCCTCAAACTGCAGTGATTCTCCTCCCTGAGGCTTCCAAGTACTGAGATAATAGATATGTGCCACCAACCTGGCCCAGTGGCAATTCTACACAATTGTCCATTCTCACTGGGCATTGTAAAAACTGTTCTCCCTGGGTTTTCAGATCTTTACTGATGAAGGTTCTAATGCCATGCAAACCTTTGATTTAAAAAGCCTGCTAATGCTTGTCTTTTTTCAGTGTCACCTGTGATCACAGCTTCCTGCCCCTGAAGTACCAATGGGACAGGAACTAAGACAGTCTATAACTGTGGGGTGACACATGATGATTGGCATAGCATGTCTGAGAAGATGTTTCTTGGAAGGAGTCCCAGCGGTACCACCACAGGATGACAGCAGGACACCCAGCCACCTGCAGGCCTGTCCTCCTCTCCCAGCCCTGGGAATAGTCTTTTTTTCAAAGACAAGGTATCAGCAGTTTCTGTACTCTAGGTATCTCAGTACCCTTTGATGCACCTCAGCAAGGAGCCCTATCATCTAGAGCTATGGTGAGTTGTTTTGCTCCTCTCGGAACAAACCATCAGGAGTTAAGCAATGCTATCCTCTGAACCTGGCCACCTGGTAGGCCAGTCACACTTCTCCATTTGTTAGCTGCTGGTTCTATGCCGTTCCTGGAGCCAGCGCAGTACCCTGGCCAAGCCAGTGCCTTTGTAGGCGCTGATTTCTGCTATGGTGATGTTCTGCTTAGCACAAGCAATGATGTCCGGAAGCCTGATTAATGACTGAATCTCCTCTGTGGTCATGTAGCAGGGTAGATCACTGTAGTCAAAGAAGTGCTATCAGAGTGGTGGCTGTCACAAACCTGCCCAATCCCTGGCTGTACCCCCTCATTCTCAACCCATGCACACCCCAAAAATCTCCTCCCTGGAATTCTTTCCACCACCACCCCAGCCACATGTTCCCTTTAGCCTGTAGACCCATACATTTTATTGAAGAGAATCAGGACTGATGTGTTTGCAAGTTGTTCCGCAGAAAGGAGACCCAGGAGCTGCACACAGGATGCAGAGAGCTGGGTGGGGTTAGAGGCATCCATCATGAACTGGGGAAGAAGAAAAACATCAGCAACACCCTGTGATGGAAGAGAGCCCTGGCCAACCTCCTTGCCTGGGCATTTTACACCTGGCTCAGGAAGAAGACAATGACTTTTGCAGTACTGGGACTCAAACTTAGGGCCTCAAATGCTAGGCAAGCACTCTACCACTGAGCTACACCCTCCAGCACCCACAGTGACTCTTAAACAAGGGGCTTTGGGACCATGCAAAAGCAGGGAAAATAAATTGTATGGGGATGACCTGGAATTTCTTGTTTGTTTCCACCTATATGGAAGTCTGTACTCTCATGGCCATCAATTCTCCATCTTATAACTTGGGGTATGGGCCTTGCCAGAATGGGACCAACCAAAGACACAGAAATCAAACATAAATGTAGGATACACCCAAAGGCCAATGCCTAAAAGACAGACCACCCTCAACAAACCTCCCCAGAGCTCTAAAGTCAGCTCAAATCACCAGAAGTCAGACTGCTGCCCATAAGGAAGCAAGTCTAGCCTGGGTCCTGTTTCCTCGACTAGTACTGTCACCACAGAACCCAAACCCCATTCTATGAACAGCAGGGCCCAGGATTTGACAGCTCAGGCACACAGACTATATCCTAAACAGGAGTCCAAAGGAGTATGACCCACCACAAGTGAATGGCAGTTTCCACAGTAACTGGACCAGATGGGGCCCATGCACCCCCCGAGTTCCCGAATGGTGATCTTTCTTGGAGCCATGATGTCAGTAAGGTTGGTGCCCACCTGTGGGAAAACCCACGGTATAAAGAGAGCACAATGTAAGTGTGATCCTGAACTCTGGGACCGCAGTGCACACACACTTTACTGTGGCTTTAACCCTGGAAGCCCCATTCTCCAAGAGGTCAGGCCTGAAAGTAGGACCGACCATCAAAAAAGACAAAGGCAGTTTCCTGGGAGCTCGGACCCAAGCCCAGCAGAAGGATC